TGCTACACTTAGTGATACTGTTAGAGCCAAGTTCTTTTCTGGTGATGTGCACACTTAAATATCTTACTTGAAATTAATGTGATGTGCACATCTGTTTCCAGGTACAGAACTTGGACTCGGGTTAAATTCTGACAGCTGACTTTCCTGATCTTTAAATTCATTACTTCTCCATGAGTGTTACTGACATCACCTTTTACTTGTTGGGTCTGATGAACGGTGAACCAAAATTTAAGATAATTTGTTAAGTTCTCTTTATAAAACAATTATGTAATAAATGCTGTGTATTGCCCTCTATGCATGTTGAGAATCTCTTATACTAAAGAATTATAAGCCATTTTATCTTAATATCTTTACAAAAGGAGACCCCACATTCTCACTGTTGGAACTATAAAGCAGTTATAATTTATTATTTTTATAATTTCAATTCCAGTCGTGGGTTTTATAGATAAGTCTGTCATGCATTTCAATGCCTATATGAATTTTTAAAAATAAAATAAGAAATGCTGTCATGGAAGTTTTAAGTTGGTTCCCAAATTCAATTTGTTCTCATATTCAGAGACAACTACAAAAGGAAATACTGAACATGTATTTAACATTTTAAAATTTGTATGTATTTATGACAGAACTTTTTACTTTGTTATGCTGCTGCTTAATTTTTATGAGAGTGCCTGCATTTTTGCACAGCAGTTAGTTTCATTACTTATTTTTGAAGCACTTTAGGATTCTTCTAAACACAGCCATGCCTCCTTTCTGTTGTTACACTATTTGTACATATTAACAGTGTCTAGACTTCAGTATGTTGCAGATGCAATGCCTCTGAATGGAGGAATCCACGTAGGGTGCAAGAGCTATATTTTCCCATCCACCGTTAATGTATGTGCATGGACATGAACATCAGCATCGCACTAGGTTATTATGGAAATAAGAAGCTTGTGCACCTTTCCTGTATTATCTAGTTTGTTCCTTCTGCTTTATCAAGGAAACAAGCTGTGAGCTCCCATTCCTTCCCTGAACAGAGGGTTAAAACTGGATTGGGATATGGAGGCTACACTTGAGCTTCCCATTGCCTGCTAAAGCCTGACATGATGAATGTACATGCATGCCATGGAGTGAAGGAGGAGGGAAGTAGACTTACATATGCCCTATGGGGAAGGATCCCTGCACCTGTGGGCATGGAACACAGAATGGACTGGATCTGGCCCTTTGTGGGGTTTGGGGAAGGGGAGGGAATCTAGCTTTAAGACCGAGCCAGCATATCACTTTTAAAAATGAAACTATTTTCAAAAGCTTTGGACATACGTTTTAATGGATTAAAACTTAACGTGCTATAAATATTAGCTGGGGTATATTTGTTCTCTCCAATGTAAAGTTACATTTCAAAATCTATAGAGCTGAGGGCTTTTAATCTGACTGAAATCACTGTGTACTTAGCTTAAGCACTTAACTGTGAGTTTGGTCAGTTGATTTCAGTGGGACATCAGTGCATTTTAAGGAAATAAGGAATCTCATTAGTTTGGGTTATGTGGTAAATTTGGGGGAACTAAAGGTTCCTGAACTAAAGGTTGCTGATTACTCCCTCCCAACGCGGACCTCTGACTCCCCCTTTACACTGTCTGTGGGTGTTCCCTGTTCCCCAGGATTATTTTATGTTGCAGCATGAGGGGAGAGACAAGGCAGTTCCATTCCACTGATGAAAATCCTATCTATCTGCAGAGATTAACTCCAACCCATTGGTAGCAGTCAGGTCCTTTATTGGAGGGGTTTTTTTTAACCATTTTTGGCTCTTCATCAACAAGTTAGGTTTCTGCTGTTATGGTATAGAAGTACCCAGAGAACCTTGGAGTGATTCATGCCCCTTATTGTGCATGCACAATTAATTGCGTAAGTACAACCTATCAAAAGAAAGGACCTAATCTCCCTGAGAAGCCCTGGTCCTGCCATTGGTATTGCTGTTACAAGTTTGCAGAAATAGGGCTTTAGTGCTGCACTGTGTGCCTTAGATTGAAGTACAGAGAACAGATTAATCATTCATAATGAAGGTGAACTAAATTGGTTAATGATGACCATACTTAACTTCCAGCTTTCTCATCGCAGATAATACAATGAGGTGCTGTCATCTTCTAGGGGAAAGAAGTGGTGACTAAAACAAAATGTGCACAATTTTTTAATGATTTTTGATGCCTAGATGAATTTTTCAACAAGAGCTGGCACAGCAATATGGTTGGTGTTTTATATACATGTATTTTTAAATGGCTAGTCATTTGCATTTAGCTGTTGTGCTTTTACAGCAATTTTGATGTTTTGGTTTTCAAAAGAATAATGTGGATTATTACAGAAAGTGTAGATTTCTACAAATGGCTGTTGCCTCTTTGGAGATTTTTGCTGAGTAGTGTATGAAACTTACTTTCAAGGGCCAGACATTACTAGTAAATTTCAGTGTTATACTTGTTTAAAAAGTCAGTAAATACTTAAAGGCAATATGCAATGCTATCCACTGCAGCAAAACTAAAGTTTTGTTAGAGGAATTTTTGAGCATTTTGCCAATTATTTTTCTTTTTGAAAACTAAAATATTTGGTAGTGGCAAATGCTCATGGTCTGGGTGGCTATTCTGAAATGTCTCTAGGGCTTTCGAGAGGTCAGTTCACATGGTCTTAAAAGTTGGTACTGGCATGTTCTGTGGAGCATTGGTTGTGGTGTGCTATGTCACGGGACTACATCCCTGGTGGGTGGCACATCCAGGCGATCACTTCACTGGGGTATTTTCAGTCGGTAAGCCCCAAAATATGACTATAGGCTGAAAAGAACCACGAAAAGTGATTATGTGAACCAGTCCAAAGATTGTCATTATAGAAGTTAAGATAGCTATATTAGTTAAAGATTGAATCTTCAGCCACTAGAATTTCCTGGGTATTTCCTCCCTGGCTTCCAGTGACACAAAACACTCCAGAAATAGTTTGATTTAGTGTGTTGGGAAAAAAATAATCAGAATGCCGTGTGCTGTGTGTAGCTTCTGTGAAAATACACTAATGTCAGTAGCTCTCATCCATTACAGGTGAACTTACATAGAAGGTCCCAGTACATAATGCCAATAACCGTAAAATGGGTGACCTGTTCAATGCTCTGTGTTAAAATGTTGGTTTTTGTTTTTTTTAAATAATGGCCTTAAATTTTTTCCTCATATTTGCATTTTATAATCTTTTTCAGGTTTTTTCATAAGCTTTCATCTTTATAGTATTGTTTATTTCCTGTAAATGTGTGCTGCGATGTATGTGCCTGTATTCAGATAATTTCATTTACAAATTATCACAGAAAAATAGCATCAAGCCCTAATATCTGTATCCTGTTTGGATTCTCTGGCCATTTCTTTTTAGTTAGTTTGATTTGTGTTTTCAGACAAATCCTTTGAGGTCAAAATGTGTAGATATATAAAATGGCCTGTTCTGCCTACTAAACGAGGCTCTGACATTTTGTTCTTGATGCTTGTGCAATAAAGAAATGCTCTGTGGAAAATGGACATGTATCATGTAACTTCAAAAAGATTAGCAGCCGCCCCCAACAGAACTCAATTTTTTTAAAGAATGTTGTTAGTAAACTCTTTAAGTGAAAGCTTCCAGCCTTACTTAAGTTTGGGTTGTCATTTCCCCCCCAATAGTCTTGTCTTACAACATCAATAATAAAACCATTGTAAAAATGAAATAAATGTGGACTTAAAAGTGTGTGTAAGAATTCTGGTTTGTTGGTGTCTGTGTCTTGCAGTCAAAACTTTTCACGCTTTTAAAAGTATTAGAGGGATTGTTGGGAGACATTCTTGTAAACTTACATTAACTGCTTGTTTTCAGAAACGGTGAGAAAACTTGACATGGTGTGAGCTTTCAGATAGATAATTCAAAACGAGTACAAATGCTGCAATAATGTCACTGAGTATTTAAAGGTATGGGCTATATGATCCATGGACAATGGACAATATTATTTTCACTGGTTCTTATCTATGCGGAATTGTAACTGTTGTGGTCTCTCTCACATTGTGGACAAGACTAGCCACAGTTTCCCCCGCTATTTTCAGGTTGCTGCTACCACTTCAGGTAAAATCCAGCCCCCCTTTCTCTAGCCTGAAGCCAACCTTGCAGGGGTATCAGTAGTAGCATGTCAAGGAGCCAGGCAGGTGGGTAAGGACTTGTGCAGACTCTCTCCAATGAAGCAGTTTATTGGAGTTCCCAACCAAGAGGGAGCCAAGAAAGAAACTGAGAGGGAAGGCCCAAACAAAGAAACAGTTCCCCTTTTCAGACCTCACCACAATGTATAGCACAGGGATCTTCAGCCAATCTGGGTGATAAGCTGTGGGCCTGCAGCCCACCTAACCTGTTCCCTTGCAATCAAGAGGTGTTAACGTATCAAAGGGCTGGCATGTTATCTCACCCAGCTGGAAAGGATGCCCTGTTCTGGCAAAGATCATCTTTTCCCCTTCTTCCTAGCCATGAAGACACGCACCTGGACCCTGGACCTCATTCCGTCATAATTGTCAAGGCAAGGCATTCTTTTGTCCACCCCACCCCACCTCACCTTTAATCTCACAGTAACATTCAGTGTTTGGAATAGACTTACATTGATGGATTGCGTATATTTCAAAAAATACTTTCAGGAGCCTTGTCCTTGACTGTCACAAAAATAAAGTACAAAATGAGAGAGTGAGAGGCAGGTTAATCTTTTTATTTCTCCAGTTTCTGTAGCTGTGGCAGGTCTATAGCATGCAATATGGAAATCTGTCAAATTTGTTTATAAATGGAAAATGTTCATTTCAGAAAATAATAACATTTGTGCTTCTGACTTTATTGGAAATTAAAAACCTTCACAGCAACCCAAAGATGAGCCTTTTCATCTAGAATCTTAACTCCCCCCCCCCCCGCTCAAACTTGAGTACCCAATTGAAGTTTACACTTGCACCCTAACCTTGCTCTGTACTACTTTTTAGATTTCAAATTTTAGATTTAGAATTTGATGGTGAAAAATCAAGAGTTTTTAGTTTCCAGAGGTTTCAATGCAAGATGAGCCGGGGGGGGGGGGGATTTCCCATCCCTATCAATTTAACCTGAGAAGTTGTGGACTTCCTTTCTTGCACTGAGGCCTTGGAATGCTTCCTTTAGGCCCATAGGTGGTTTAAGTCTCTATGCCTTTTCTGCTTTTTGATTGATTTGCCATGGGAAATCTTATTCTCCATTCTAATTGTTAAAAACAGCTTGCAATTAAAAAAAATCCACAGCAAATGTCAGTACATCCGGACCTCTTCCCTACCCCCATCTCTTAAAGTGCAGCAAACTGTTGCTATGTGTACTGTCTTTTATAATAGCGGCATTGTGTGTCACACAGCACAATTTCCATAACTTTGAGGCGGAAAACAGACCTCCATCTTTATACAGCATGACCTTAAATTGTTCTGGCTTGAAGCTTAAAAATGTGCAGTGAAGTCATGGCAAGGCTGCAGAGATTGTATGGGGAGTTGGATTGTTACATAGGGTCTACGTTACATTTTGCTGCACAAAACGCAGTCATTAATAAGCCTATTTGTATCAAAGGAGGAGTTGTTTCTCCAAATGAGAGATCCTGTCAGGAGAAATCTTAGCATTTCCCTCGGGAAGTACTTCATTTCTTCCCTAGCTTGCTTTCTCTATCCTTTTCTTCCGAGCCTTCCTTTGAAGTACATACCATCTCCTTATGCCTTCCCAAAATGTAACTCTCCATTCCAATTCCTTCTTAATACCAAGTCCACCCTCTTCCTTTTTCCATGTTAATTTTAGTGTTAAAAATGCACTTCTCAGGCTGAATTCTACAATAAGAATGCAAATTAAGCAATTGCACGTTCTGCTCTCCAATATACTATTTATAAGTATTTAACGTATTTTAAAGTGTAAGCAATTAAAAGCGTTCTGTAACTGCTTTGTGAAAAAAAGAATTTTCACCTTTGCACATAGATTGAAACGACCATAAAACAGATTTTCCTCAATTGAGATGGAGGCCAGTTTGTTTCTAAAAACTCTGAGCATTTCGCTCTGGTGCCTTTAGTTCATTTGTTAATTCTCCAAAAGTATCAAAAAACTGTTCCATTTCCCTCTGAAGAGTTGTGTTTCTTCTCTCTGCATCTTCCCTAGCCCTCTCTGCATTGCACATTTTAATTTCTACCAAACGATACCACTTCCGTTGCTGACCCAGTTTTGAATGCAGATCCTTAATCTCTGACTGCAGTTCTTTGTTCCGCTGCTCCAGGCTGTTGGTAAAAAAAACAGATGTGGTAGCTTTGCAACCCTCTTTTCCTGGCTGTATCTTGAAATACAGTGATTTTTAAAGTGTAGCACTTTTCAAATGCTCTTTTGAGCTCTAAGTAATATAAATAGGAGAGGCAACTTATCTTCAAAGAAGAATATGTGTGCTGGGGTCTCACATGCTCCAAAGGCATTAGAGGGATAATTTATGACAGCAAGATTTTTATCACCTCCGTGCCCATCACCTTTTGAAATGAATAAATTTCCATTATTGCGCACTCACTTTGGTATAACCATGTGGAAGCTATTTTGCCGCTAGCCCAATCTAAGCAGTAGAAATTAAGAGATTGTGGTAAATGAAGACATAAATCGTGAAATAAAATACTATGTTCTCCTGCTCATTATATCCCTGCCAGCTCCAAGAAGCATTTACTCAGGCGGTTTGTTCCATTTGAATGTAAATGCTATCACCTAGTACATGTTTATATTGTAGTAGTTTAATTGCACATATCCGTGGCTTCAGTGGGCAAAATTCAATCATGCAAATTAGTCCTTTAAAAAGTTCTAGCCAATTTAATCTGCAGCTCATATTCAAAGTAGAAGAGAGAAAATTATTTTCTTACTAGAATTTTAACTGTAGCTGTACTTGGTATTTGTGAGCCAATATGTCTCTCACTTTTCATTGCAGTACTATCAGAGAAACTGAAACAGGACAGTTGTAGAAACTTTTACCTTGTAATTTTAGCTTCATACTCTGCCTTCTGCCTGGCCATCTGCTGCTTTAGACTTACAAAGTGGCACTGCAGGGAACCTTGACCTGTTGAGGTGTCCTTGCTGGAGAGAGGAGCTTCACTGCAGTTGCTCACCTGGCTTTGTTCCAAGCTGACATGAACCCCCACAACATTTGAGGCAGCCTTCTTAGTTTCTTCAAATTCTTCTACGCAGTTAGGCCTGAGACAAAGCCTTGAAACTGGATTTTCTTCAAGCATTGAGTTGTCGGGGCAGCTCTTTCGAGAGATCTCGGTAATGTTGTTCATGTCCTTGAGGCTTGTTCAGCTTGGTTCTAGGTAAGAACTGGCTTAGATTTTAGACAAAATTCTCTTGTTTAACCCTGTACTATGAGACTTCTCGTCCTAGCCGCAGCTGTCTGAAGCTTCTCAAATGCTTGGATGTAGTCCATTTTATTGGAGCCTGGATCTTGTTTCAGCCCTAGAGTGTTTTTGATATGGAATGGGAAACGCCTTGAGTCGCTGTGCTTCACACGTCCTCTTGCTGTAAAGGCTCGCTCCATCAGAGACACTGCCCTTTTATTGCCATCCCCCCTCCTTTTTTGTGGTGCCATTTGACTGACATGTGTGGGTGGAACACTTACCCATGAACTAGTAGCCGCTTTCTTCTGTTAAAGTTTCTCTTAGAGTTGCTCTGATTGTCAAGGGGCAACAGAGAGAGGAAGTGAAACTTGGACCATCAAATACAAGGTCCCCCGTGTCTTTTGCATGGACAATGGAAGAAGTCTGTGTGTTCACTGTAACATGACCAGCTTCAGGAAGCTGAGTGAATGAAAAACAGCTTCTGCATAATGGGTAATGCTGCATCTAATACTGCCTGTCAGTTAAATAGTTATTCCAGTGGTGTGATTTTGGATTTTACTATTCCCAAATAGTGATAAGTTTCTGAGGACTTGGCTATTAAAAGAAATACAGGTTTATAACAATATAATAAATGTAACAATGTAAATATAACAAGTTTCTGCCCTTTAAAAGTTTTCAAAATTTTGTTTAAAACAAGACAGCCAGACTACAGGGTTAGGTGTAGTGTTCATACTTCTCCAATTATTGGCTTCTAATTTGTTTCCAGGCACAATTCTGGTGCTGTTTCTAACCTTTAAAAGGCCAAATGAGCTGGAGGACTATCATGTGAACCTGGTCAAGAATTAAGATCATCCTCTGAAGACATTCTGTGGTACCCAGCTTTGGAATTGCCTCCCCAGAAATATTTGCCTGGCACCAGCATGCCATATTTTAAGGTGCCAGGCTAAGTCCGTTCTGTTTGTCCAAAATGTTAATAGTAATCTCATTGTCTATTGTACCTGCTTGTCTGTTCAGTTTGTACTGCTGGAGTTGTACTGCTGGCATAATTTCAGTCTAAGGTTTTGAGCAATTGTGCAGATTTTTAAAAACAAAAATTGGATATATTTTACTTTTTTAAATTAATCGGATATAACAGCCTACAGTCCTAACTGGTATACCTTGTTAATTGAATTAAATTGATTATTTTAACCTGCAAAGGAAACATAGGTAGCTCTTTTTGTATCTGGAATATTTAGAAATTATCTAAAACGAAGCACTTTTCCGTTTCTGAAAAGTCTGCCTTGAGCACCTCTTGTTCCTCAGCAAAAATACTACCTTGGCCTTGTCATCAAGCTAGTAAAGAAACTATTTTACATAAAATTTAGCAATGATATTAAACGGAGGCCAACAATGAACACATTTCTGTTTCTAACCAAGATCATAATGCTGACATTCAATTAGGATCTCCTCTAAGGTTTTGGGGATCAAAAAAACATTCTTATCTGTTTTGGAAGAAACTGACTGATATTAAACACTGTACAGAAAAGATTTTCCCAAACTGAACTAGAAATACTATCAGTAAGCATTTGCCTCATTGGTGGCTTCTGGTATCTGACTTCCAGAATATTGGTTTATCCTTTAGCCACATGTTCAGTTTTTTCCCAAATAATGTTTCTGAAAATAAAATATCTCCAATTTTCTTCTATTTTTTGTCAAACTTTCTATTAAAACTTTTATCTTAGTCTCTGAGTTAATTTGTTTGAGCCTCCTTACTACTTTATCTGTTAACTTTGCAGAGCTTTTTTTTTTAACTACTGTTTTTGAACTTCTCTCCAAATACTGAAATTCGATAGTATGGGAAATATTTTAGTGTGTGTAAAGTGCTGTCAAGTTGCAACTGATTTATGGTGACCCCAGCAAGGGGCTTTTCAAGGCAAGTGAGAAGCAGAGGTGGTTTGCCATTGCCTTCCTCTGCAGAGGCTTCCTTGGTGGTTTTTCATGATCCAAGTACCTGCTTAGCTTCTGAGATTTGACGATGCCGTCTTCCCTCCCACTGGAAATATTTACTGGAACTGATATCATGTCAGCATCCGGGCTTCTTTTAGAATAATTGTTCTAGAATGCAGACACTGTTTGGAGCCTAAGCCTTATTTCCATTTGTGCTGGGCCATTCTCCAGGCTAGCGTGATCTCATCAGATCTCAGAAGATAATCAAGGTCAGCCCTGGTCAGTATTTAGATGGGAGACCTCCAATGAATACCAGGGTCATGATGCAGAGGCTGGCAATGGCAAACCACCTCTGAGCGTTTCTTGCTTTGAAAACCCGGTGGGGCCACCATAAGTCAGCTGTGACTTGACAGCACTTTCCACCACCACATTTTCTGTCGGGGGAGAGTTCAACTTCCATTCATGCAAGACCACTTTTCTGAATTGGCTGACAAGCACCTAGCACCAGAGGGGGGAACACCCCCCCATGCTATGGTCAAGACATGGCACAAACAAACGTAATGCTAAGGAGTCAAGCCATTAAAAAGCAGCAAAAAATACTTGTGTGTGTGTAAAGTGCTGTCAAGTTGCAACTGATTTAAAATAAGAGATTCTTCTAATTTGTTATTTTTAATTTCCTCAGCTTTGCCTTTACATTGTACAGGAATGCAATAGTGTTCTTATGCAGCATAAGAAAAATAATATTCTAAAAATTTTGAGTACATGGAGTAGGTTTGAAAAGGTTAGGTTTCTTGGTTATGTGTTCGAGTTCTTTGGCATGGCAACAAAACTCAATATATTTTTCTTTCCCTTGAGGGAACTGATTATTCCTTAGAGATTTAATGTCATTAGTGAGCTGGAAAAGATCAGTCACTGAATCATGCTAATAAAAGTAAATAAATAAGCAAGGTTGTTTTTAATAACAAAAGGAGATAAATTTTCCTTTAATTCTAAAGAAACCTTTAATTGTTAGAAAATTGTGACATCTATCACTGAATACACAGATATCAGTCAGTATAAGTAATTGCTTATATCTTCAAGTTTGAAAAGTTTTAGAAATATAATTGTTTAGAAAAGTTATAAGCTCCCTCTCCAAAGATAGGCTTGAAATGGTTCACAAGCTGAAACAATACAACAAAACCAACAGAATAAAAACAACATAAACAACATTGAGCAGCCTAATGATCTTCATAAAACTGTCCTAGAATCAGGCCATTAAAAATAGCTACAAAAACATGGTGGCCCTCATTTAAAAGCCAGAGTAAAAAGAAACATTTTTAGTCTGGTGCCTAAAGGATGGTAATAGCCTCAAGCAGGAAGGCATTCCAAAGTCAATAAATTCTTCCCATCTGTCCTGTGAGATGCTCTGGTCTGACTCAAAGAAGAATCTAAACTAGCGGTCCCACAGCGGATCAGACTCAACAATGTTCCTTCAAAAGGATCAAGTTTATTGAGTACAGTAAAGGCAGGTCATCTGTGCATACACTCAGTGTTAGATCTAACTCCATAGGTGGGAAAAGGGGAAGTTATACAGGATTCAAAGTGGGGTCCCCTGATTGAATCGGGCCAATCAGAGGATGAACTACAGCGTGCCTAAACTAATGGGTTCACATTCCCAGCAGAGCGAGAGAAACAAGGTATCAAGGTCACGAGCCCAGGCTAAGAGATAAGACACCTTGAAAGAAATGAAAATTAACATTCCAGCACTTGAAAATGTTCACCCAGCAGCCTCCTACCTCCCCCCACTTACAATGGCAGTGTAGCTGACGATGGGTGAACTGTTCATTGCGATGTAGCAGACATTTGCAAGAGGTTGAAGAAGATGCTTGGGAAATGTATACATATGTACAGAGTTGCCAGTTGGTAAATTCCTGGAGATTTGGGGACAGCAGGGTTTGTTGAGAGGTGTAGGGTTACCAGCTCCAGGTTGGGAATTTCCTGGAGATTTGGGGATGGAGCCTGAAGAGGGCAGACCTTGAGGAAGGGAGGGACCTCAGCAGGGCATAGTGCCATAGTGTAAAGTCATGTCCTTTCCACCAACTGATGCTGAGCTATAAGGGTCCCTAACCCAGTCAAGGCATTCAGTGGAGACTGAAGAGAAATAAAATGACAACTTCTCCTCGAGAGTTTTTAAATGTTTATTATCTCACACAGTGCAGCAGTGTGAACACCTTGCCATTGCTTGGTGAGTGTGAACATTTCAAGATTGCCACTTTCCACGTGTTGATGCCAGAGTTGCACCTTTGAACGGAATCCATTTATTTGATCTGTACTTGTAAGCAGGTTTTCATTTCGGCCTTGCATTTGTGTGTTCAGTTCATTCAGATGATGAAAAATATCTGCCAGGTATGCCAGCCTTGCACACCACTCATCACTTGCAAGCAGCTTTGCGTAATCTGACCTCTCATTTGTCAGAAACACTTTAAGTTCCTCCCGCAGCTCATACACACGAACCAAGACCTTGCCACGCGACAACCACCGGACCTCCGTATGAAACAGCAAGGTTTTATGCTTCGCTCCCATCTCCTCACACAAAGCTGTAAACATGCGACTTTTCACAGGTCGTGACTTTACAAAGTTTACCATGCACACAACATAATCCAACACAGGAACTAGGTCTGCTGGTAAAGTCTTGGCTACGAGGGCCTCACGGTGTAAAAAACAATGTGTAACAATCACATCTGGATTTCTTTCCTTCACTCTGCTTGCAAAGCCTTTGGTGCGCCCGACCATGGCTGCAGCTCCATCGGTGCAGACACTTGTGCAGTTTTCCCACTTAAGTCCTCCTTGTTCAAGGTATTCTGATGTGACCCGAAAAATTTCTTCTCCTGTTGTTTTTTCTGGCAATGCCTTGCAAAAAAAGAAGTTTTCTCTAATTGCATCACCATCCACAAAACGCACATTGGCCAAGAGTTGAGCATGTCCACTGATATCAGTAGACTCGTCAAGTTGCAATGCAAATTTCTCACTGATACGGATCTTTTCCAAAACCACACTTTCGATGTCTGCAGACATGTCATTAATACGTCTGGAAATTGTGTTGTCTGAGAGAGGGACTTTGGCTATTTCCTTAGCTGCTTCAGGTCCGAGCATCTCCTCTACAATAGCTAGCTTTTCACCACACACCACGCACAGTGGAGTTAGTTTCTTT